ATAACATTTTATTTTACTATTCTGTTTCCGTACAGACAAATTTAATAATGAGACAAAACGATATCATGTTTAACTTTGGATGTACACTGTCAAACAGCGTAGTAAAACCCCTCCGAAATTTGTATGGAAATATTGTCGACTAGTGTCACCTTAAAGAAGCAGCTGTATTTATTTTTCAAGTAGAAAATAGACATTTCGCTATTAGTTAAATACAAGTGGAATGTATAATATAGTAAGGCATTTTTCATAAGTCTGAGGAAAGCCGGACAACATTTTTGTCCGAAATTTTTGAAAATATTAGAACGACAAACAATACATACATTTATCGATATACCCATAATTTTATTATAAATAAATAATAGTTCATGCTTTAATTCTCAGAGAAATCACTAAGAATCGTTTAAGAAATTAACTATAAATACAGCATACTATCATTGGGGTTAAAAATGTTAAATCCCAATCTAAAAATGATGATTACTGTTATTTAAATTAAATATAATAGTTTCATTACATTTCTCTGCATTAATGGCAGCATAGAATTTTTATCACACTGTTATTACCTAAATACATAAAATTATAAACTTTTCCTAAGGGATTTTATGTCATAATATATTTTAATTAAGTTATTATAGTACATTCTTTTCCATTGTTACAATAACCAGCATTTATATTCAACTTTACCACCATTTTTTTCAATACAATTTTTAATGATTCAATTAGTCATTCTGAGATCTCGTTTGAGTTAAAATTTTAGATAAGTAAAATAGTGCAATTTGTATAATGCCTATATTCATCCACCATTCCAATAAACTTAAATACTAACATGTTCAGCCGAGTTGATCAACGGTGGCGAAGGCTAGTCATCGCCATAATATATATATATATAGCTCCCTACAAATCAGACTGTTTTATTTCTATATATAATTAACAAACACCGCCAATACGGAGATCCGGCTAAATGCTCGAATGAATTTACCTTTAACCTTTTATAAGGCAAAAGAAATAAGTTTAACACCAGCCTTTTCCACCATTTCTCCAAAATTCGTTTTTAGTAGGGAATTTCTTTTTTCGTCTAGCAATACTAAAATATATTGTCAACCCATCCAAAGAAAAAAAAATTGACAGACAGTGTCATGGCCTTATTCAATAGCTGCTTGTCAAGAGAACGTGCTTTTAGGTTATAGAAATTTGCATCTATAGAAATCTAATTTTTTGCTTTATTTGAAGAGGTATAACAATTGTGTGTTTCGAAATATATTATTCTTTATGTTTTTGCTAATATTTATGAAATTTTATTTATATTTCAAGCTTACTAACAGTTTTTCTTGGTGGGAAATATATTCCCTGTACCCAGCACCTTTAATGAGTTTTGATAATACACCAATAAAATGTATTTTGTTCTTTCAGGGTTTTTGGTCACAATGTCGAGGATTTTTTGAAGGATAAGGATATTGAAGGACTTTTAGAAGAAATGTTTGATATTCCCGATGATACTAACTCGTAAAACGACTTAGAATCGGAAGGAGAACCAGAATTGAATTTACAAACTTTACAAAATCTTTTAGAAGATGATTCCCAAAGCCAAGAAAATCAAAATATGCCTGATAAGAGTTCGAATGTCTCTATCGAGACTTTTCATAATTCACAGTGATGAATCTGAAGCTGAGATTAGTATACTTGAAGAGCTAGATGACGATTCAGATGAATCTGAACCAGAAGAAAATGAAAATTGACGTAAAAGTTTATGGATCAGTCGACCGGAACCTGAAGAATTTGACCGTGTCAAAACAGCGCCTGTGTATTTATTGAACAGCAGAGCTCGTCCTTTGGCACACTTTGAAAAATCTTTCAATGAAAACGTGTATGATCTTGTTGCACAGACAAATCTCTACGCTGAACAAAAGAAAATACTGCATTGGGAGCCAGTAACTAAACCCGGAATTAAATCATTCCTTGGCATTTTGATTATCATGGGTACATTATTTTACCTCACATAGATTTATATTGGTCTAGTGATCCAGAGTTTAGAATCGATGAAGTGGCCGATGTCATGCCAATAAAACGATTCAAAAAACACTGCAAGCGCTACATCTTAACGACAATGCCCAAGAACCTAAAAAAGGAACCTCAGGCCAAGATAAACTGTACAAGTTGCGTCCTCTAATTACCATGCTCAATGAATAATTTCTAGGAAACGCTAAGAATTACTTGTCGCAAAGTATTGACGAAGGTATGATAAAGTTCAAAGGGAGATCTTCTCTAAAACAATACATGCCACTCAAACCAATAAAACGGGGTTACAAAATTTGGTGCCGTAATAACAGTCAAACCGGATATTCATAAGAGTTTGAGATATACAAGGGCAAGACAGCAGAGGGGGTAGAAAAAGGCTTAGGCGCTGACGTGGTTAAAAGATTGACACGCAAACTAATGTAAGAAGAATTTATCAAACATGTCGCGTTTGATAATTATTTTTGCCTGACTTCCCTGCTCCAGTATTTAAATGAAAACGGTTTGTTTTGTATTGCAACGGTCCGGCGAAACAGAATTGAATTGCCTGCAACGATAAAAGAAAAGAATAAGTTGAATTTAGAGAAAGGCCAATTCAAATGGAGAACTAATAGGGACGTTGCTTTCGTAGTTCGGCAGGACACAAAAGAAGTGTTAGTATTGAGCACAGCATTTCACCCTAAAATAGGACTGCAGTTAGCAGAACTCAAAAAGATGGCACCACTTCATCAGTCAAATGTCCAAGAGCAATAACAGAATATACTCATAGAATGGGTTGTGTAGACCGATTCGATCGAATTAAAGCCTCATACTCTGTCGGTGGGAAGAGCAAATGCTGGTGGTTCCGGAATTTTTAATTTTTGTTAGATGTAAATGCTTTCGTGCTTTACGCAGTTTCAATTTCTTCGAGGGCAAGAAAACAAGTAACTAATCTGTTGTTACGAGTGGCACTGGCGCGAGGACTCATTGGAGCGCACAGTGGACAAAGGCGAAGATCTCTTCCAAATTACGCCACAAGAAAACTAGAGTACTGGGCTCTGAATATTATCGAAAGACCACCAATAAACGGGCACCTGAACTAAGATTTAAAAATGGCGTTCCTCATATGCCTGTAGTCATTGATTCATATAGACGCTGTAAATACCGCAGCACATAAGAACACGATAAACGAAGTAAAATTATTTGCGAAAAATGCACAGTTCCATTAAGTATATACGGAAACAAGGGACTTGTTTCCGTCAATATCACGTTAATAATTAATAAAACAGTTTTTTTATTTTTAAATTGGGAGACAGGGACCTAAAAATGTTTCCACTTTGTCTAGTTTTCACTGCAGTGACGGGCAGGGGGAATATACTTACCCCCATTTTTTCACAATTTTCCAATAACTTTTCCTAATTTTCGTGTTAACCTATGTTAAGTTGTTATATAAAAGATGCCAAATATAATATAAATGTTTATTTTACTGTCCTGAATCCTTCTGCCTTATAAAGGATTAATACCATAATTAAATTTTTAAAATAGGAACGTTTTATTGTCGATGGCTGGCATTGACAATGGAATATACTTACATAATAAATGTCAAAGTAAAAACAAGCTCAATGGATAAAACATTATCTTGAAAAAACTCGACTGCGTAAAAATATTTACGGAAAAGAGAAAATATTTAAATGCATATCAATTCCACAACTAAGACGAATCTCTAGACACCCCATATGTTGAAATCCCTTAAGCCGTTTAGGCTACAGAACGTGCCAAAGAAATAGATAAACATATATATACATACATACACCCGAAAAACATTATGCCTCCTTCTGGGGCAGACGGATAATGAATCGGAAAAATTGACGTTCAACAAAACGCTTTAAGTGTTAACATTAGCTTGTAAGCTTAGAAAACCATGCAAGCATCACAACCACGCAAATAAAAAGTGCAGAAAATGGTTTATGTGTTACACATATACAGAGATAAAGATATGTAAAGTATAAAATTCAGTCATTCTATAAAGGTCCCGTTTAAAAGAAACAGTATAATTAATCTATCCACAATTAAATAATTCAAAATAAACGCTGTCAGGAATTACAATCTACAGAGACCAAGAATAATAGTGTTAGTTTTAAACATCAAAACTATATAAATTACAGATAACGTTAAAGTTTTCGCACAAATACATAAAAACTATTCTACTTTCTATAATATAAACATTAGTACCTTTATTTGAGTTACTATAAATAGATCGCTACTATATTGGTTAGCTTAACATCAAATAGAATTAGCTGCAATTACATACTTGTCACTTCATTTCTATCTACAAAATATTTTTCTTTACGCTAGAATTAAGAAATATTCGTACGTTATATAAATCTCACTACAAATATTTTATCGCCTAAACGACAAATATATACCAAATATTTTAATCTGCATTGAATTTAAGGGATTTTATATTAATTCTCGATAAATTATATAGAACAATTAGTTTATAATAAACATTGGATAAAAGATCGGTTTATCCAATGTTAATATCGGACTAGAACACTGGTCGCATATTTATTTAGGCAAGCAATAATAAGCAAGTGAAAAAGTTTTCACTATAAAGAAATCACAGAGGATAAAGTATAACCACGATTATGTTTCACAGACAATAGAAAACAAATGTAGCGCTACGAATTTGTTTTTGTTTGTAGGTCCGTGTTATTTCTATTTCAAGGCTACCCGCATTTCCTTTTTTCAAATGTAAATGAAACTTTCAGGTGGAAATGCCACATTTATTAGACTTTTTCTCTAAGTCTTATTACAACAATAAGTAAATAGGACTTCATCACGCAAGAGTATTTCTTAAAAAAGACATTTTAATGTAATAATCGCAATAAATAGGATACAGACATGGTATCTTTTATCATACAAATAGTGTCCCGTTTTATATTGTCAATGTATAAAATATAAATAATTAAATCACAGATACTACGTTTCTTCATAAATAACTATATTATCTAGATGTCCTTCTTACCCGAAACGAGGTATACGTTCATGTTATCCTTACCTTTAACATAGACGCTGCCACGAGGTTCGAACTCATATTTTGCGGACAACACGGAAATACAGGCCTCACCAACCTGGATGCGCTTAGCGACGCCAGTAGAATCCATTCTCGATGCTATATTAACCGCATCACCCCATATATCGTAATACAGCTTCGTGGTGCCTATAACGCCAGCCGTGACGTCACCGAAGTTGTAGCCAATCCGAAGTATAAAATCGAATTCAAGTAAATCCTGATTGAAATTATCAACGACTTTCTGCATTTCAAGTGCAAAGTCCATCAACTGATACAAGTGGTCGTAAGTGCCGCGAGATGCGTACCGCAAGTCGGGGTTCAGACCGCTGGCAGCCATAAATGTACTGCCGATCGTCTTTATTTTTTCAACGTGTTGAAATTGTGGTCTTTCTAATAATTCATCAAAATCAGCGATCAGTTCGTTAAGCACTCGCAAATATTCCTTTCCCCTTAAGTAAGACTCGTCATACATCTCATTAAAATTCACTATACTCGCAAATATAATCCCCACGTCTTTGTGATTTTCAGAATACTTTGCGGTGTTTTTCAATTGATCAGCCACGTGGCGCGGTATGATATTATGCAGCAGCCAGTCCGCTTGATTCCTCATGTTCTGGACCTTCTGCTTATCGAGATTCGCAACAACATTGCTATAGAAACTTAGTCGGTAACTGATTTCAAATTCTCTATTTAAGAACCAAACAAGCATCAGCAGCAGGGCGATATCCAAGTACAATTCTGTCAAGTGCATTTTATGTCGTACGCCTACAAATCCTTCCGTACCGTTACTTCCCAACCAGCCGTCAAAAGATGTGTTCATCATGTTCAAAAAGGTGGTGTTGTGACCAACAATTTGTGGACTTAAACTAATATCTTCGTCAATTAACTCAGTACTAACCTCGCGACAACCTAACACGGTGAAAAATAAGAAGAGGCCTGCATACAGCGTCACTAGAGTATTTTTAACGAGCCAACTCATCTGAGTGAAATTACAGAACTGCACTATTCCGATGCAAAGAAGGTACACATAAAAAGATTGTTCCCCTTTTAAGATTGTCATTGTAGTGCTTTTGCATGAAAAGTTTATGAGGACGGCCAAAATAGGTATACTAATCAAGAGACTACCAGACAAATGCCAGGGGAGCCAGTCGGACAGCTTCCTAAATATTTTAACTGATCGCCGAATCGTATTCGTTACCAGAGGCTCGTTCTTCGTTTTATACTTTAAGTAATGGCGATATATACAAAGCGACATGGCCAAAGTTTCTATAAGGAAAAAGAATATAACCCAACCAAGCGATCGCCGCCATTCACAGTATAGTATAAATATAGACATAGTAACCGCTATGAAAATGATTACTGATACAAGGATATCTAGGGCGGTATTAAATCTAGATGTAGTGAGGGTAGGCGGAAAATCTTCACTGTCGTCGCTTCTGTGAGCCATGTCCCTGTAATGCCTTTCCATTTCTGGCGATTTAAAGAATAGTGTGAACCTATTTAAAGGTGGCTGAACGAAATAGCTTATTCCTGATCTAGAATTGTCTTGAACGCATCGAATAAGCTGAAGGTCAGATTGTTTTCGTAGCTTCTGCAGAGATTGCATCTGTTGCTCATTCAGTGGCGCTGGTAGTCGACTCTTTGAAGCCAGTTCATTTAAGGAGGACTGGCTTGACGTGTAATAACCAGATACTCTATGCTGCATTATATCATTCTGTGACGTTGCTAGCGCGGCCTGATTGAGTGCGAAAATCTGTAAAAAAAATATTCAACTTTAAGGATTAAATACACTGAAGGCGTCTTGTTTTGTTTTGTAAGGAATACGTTACAACAAGTAACGTGTAACCATAAATCAACAGGATTAATAAACTACATTTCGCCGACCGACGATTTTGGGTATATCCATTCATGATGGGCGAATCCCACTCGCACGGACTGATAATTCGGAGCGGTATTAACGGTGCGAAAGTATTAGTTCTGACCTTACTGACGGAGGCCAAGCCCAAAGAGATGTGTATGGGCAAATCGTTCAATTTATGCATGTAGTCAGTGAATTCTTGTAAAAGTAATATCCAGTAGTGAATTAAGCAAGGTTTATAAAGAACTTAAAATTTTTATTTTATTACTAAACTAGCTGTTCCCCGCGACTTCGCCCACGTGTAATTTAAGGTTTTCATTAGGTTGCGCGGAACCCTAATTATTTTTCTAAAATATAAGTAACCTAAGTTACTCCTTATAACGTCAGTTATCTACCAGTGAAAGTCCCGTCGAAATCGGTCCAGCCATTTCGGAGATTAGTCGGAAGAAACAGACAGACAAAAATTTAAAAAATTGTTTTTTTGTTATAAGCTGTTATTATATAAAAAGCTGTTATTTTGACATTACAAAGAGACACTCCAATTTTATTTATTTGTATAGATGTAGATATTTTTATTTGCGTCTGTATGTTTGTATTTATGCTATAAATTATTCAAAAAATTATAATTTTTTGAATAAGTAGTTCAGACTGGATACCGATGTGGTTCACCATTATTTTAATATAATTTTAAAGAGAGTTCAGCCGTTTTATTTTTATTTTAGCGTCGCAAAAAGCTAACTGCACAATAATGAATAACAACCTTGCAAAGAATGGAATAGAATATAATATTGAAAGTCATTTACGCTTATACCCCTGATTCGGATGATTGTATGAAAATTGTAACATTTCCGTTTCAACAAGTAGCAAATCATTTGTGTGCGTCTTTCCTATAACGGGTAGGCTATGCTGGAACAGCCATAATTGACAAAAGGATGAGATCGCATTACGAAATGTCGCATTGCATTAACGCTGCTACTATTGCTACATTTTATTGGTGGTAGGACTCCATTTCTGACAAGAAGTTCGTGTAAGTAGGCGCCACACTCTCACTTATTTCTGTCGCCAAATAGTGCTTACATACTACTTACTGCGTTGGGTATAGAGAGAGCCAGTGTATTTACGGACTGTGAGGCGTTCCATCTTAGTTCTCAGAGGTGACGACGCACCTGCGGCTTTCTTCGTTTAAGTTGGCCGTGGGTGTCCATGGCCCGCAGCAGTCACATACCTTTAGGTGAACGAAATTGTTTGCCACTTGTCTTGGAAAAAGTTCGGGAGAAACGACCTAACAGTAGGATCCTCCTTCACCACGACAACGCTTCGTCGCACACCGCCAAGCAAATATTCGACTACTTGGCGACGTCAGACGTGGAATTACTGGGTCACACGCCCGACATTACATATAGACCCGACTTCACACCTTGCGATTTTTATTTATTTCCGAAAATAAAAGAAAAACTTCGAGGAAAACGTTTTATGGACGCCGAGGAAGCAGTGGCTGCGTTTCAAAATGCCGCCGAATAGACCCCTAAGGACAAGTGGGCAAAGAGCTTTTCTCTGTGGTTCCATCGGAAGCAGCGATGTATTGATGTAAATGGACATTATTTTCAAGATATAATAAAAGTAATAACTTGCTAGTTGGTTCAATTTTTGATTTTCTAAGAACTTTCAGTGTCACCCTCGTACTACTGCGTACTACCGCGTACAAAACGTCTCTCACACATGACCTCAGTATTTATCATTATAATTCTTTATAACATAAAACCTTACCTGTTGTTGTATGCTGGACCTCCGACTAGTGCTCCTAATGCCAGAATCTTTTCTACTGTTGACGGACGGGCATAGACTAACGATGTCGTCCTGTACGCGAGGAGATTGTGTAGACGGTATGGGAAGATTTAGCCGACGGTCTTTTGGCCGCATTAACTCTGCCTGTGTTGCCAGAGTCGAACTACGTGCTCGACACACTGGATTCTAGAAATCATTACAATGTTCAAATATAGTAATGGTAATATTATATCGGTAAGTTATAATAAAATAAGTAGTTAGTAATTATTTTATTATAGGCTTAGGGCTCGCTGTAAATATCAGAGTAGGCAAGCAGCCCGGGTTCGATCTCCTCCGGCACCAATGAAATTGTTAAGTGCTGATTTACCATGTGCTCGGTGATGAAGGAAAACATCTCGATGAAACCTGCATGTCTGAGAAATATTTCGAGTTTTTTGAATATTGAAACATGTGAAGTTCGCCAACACGCATTGTGACATTTCCTTGGCCTAAAACCCTCTCAGAAGTGAGCGGCCTGTGCCCTGCATTGGGACATATAAAGGCTATGACTTTTAACTTTTTAATTCTTTTATAAGTCATATAATTACGAAGTCAAGTCCGCCAACACGCACTGGAACAGAGCGGCGGACTAATTGCTCTTATATACTTGGTAGAGCCATGCTACAGCTATATTAGTACTATAGTTGTAGCACGAATGGGTCGGCTCGACCGGAGAAGGACCATGCTCTCACAGAATGCCAGCGTAAAATAGCAGCTGCACTAGCACTGCTGTGTTTCGTATGGTGAGTGTAACAGGTGAACCGGTGACCCCTTTTACTGGAAATGAGGCATTCCATCTTAGTCCTCACGGGTGGCAACGCATCTACATTTTGATTCGCAAACGAGGATAGATGTAGATGTCTATGGGCCACAGCAACCACTTACCATCAGGTGGGCTGTGTGCTCGTTTGTCACCCTATCCTATAAAAAAATGACCCATAACCCTCTCAGAAATTAGAGGAAACCTGTGTCCAGCAGTATACAGACTGTAACCTTACTTTAAAATTATGTAAAATTATTCCATATAGGCAAGAGTAACACGTGCAAAATTATGCGGTTCTGAATAATGCTTACTCGTTCAACGTCAAAAATAGCTCTAGTATTATAAAAGGAACTGAAGAAAAATTAAAGAAGAAACACGATCGACGTCATAAAGTGCGTTTTTAATTAGCGTTTTATGACATAAACGTTATAAATAATGTTCTGCGGATGCACAGCTGAAATATTTTAGGACTAACCAGTGGAACATATTATATAGCCAGTTATTTCAAACGTTTGTTATTGGAAGTAAAAATTTTAGAAATGTGTTAGGGGGTGACTCAAACTTTAGGCCTAGTCAGTTTCAATGGCCTATCATGTAGAGGATGTCATAGGGTCATAGTTGAATGGGGGCAAAAAGTTCTCATTACACTCCTAGGAGGTCAAAATGGTCAAAACCAAGAAAAACTCTTATTTCGGCTATAGCTTACTCCGCTTCCTTCGGAAGTTCTTACACAGTTTTTTACTTCCCCCATCCCACTTCTTAATAGAAATATATCACTCTTTTATATCTGACCTTTTCGGGAGACTAAGATTATGAAACTTCCGTCCTTGTTTGTTTATGAGAAAATCATGTACGTACAAGAAAATATATGTTATTTATATTAATTTAATAATAAAAAAACGGACTTTGCTGAATGACGGACTGGAGAACATTTTTTTAAGCGTGGTAGAGCCATGCTGCAGCTATATTAGTAGTAAGGACTACGCTCACATAGAATATCAGCGTAAAATAGCGGCTGAATGCTGCTGCGTTTCGTGGTGAATGTAGAGAATGGGAGACCTTTTTTACTGGAAAAGAGGCATTCCATCCTAGTTCTCACAGCTGACAACGCATCTGCATTTTGATTCGCAAACGAGGATAGATGTCTATGTGCCACAGCAACCACTTACAATCAGGTGGACTGTGTGCTCACTTGTCACCCTTATCTTATAAAAAAGAAAAAAAGAACAGACTCGATGATACGATAGGGATTCCAACAGATACAAAATAGATGTAATCACAATTTTATGTCTAAATGTCCAAAACTGATCGAGGAAAGTAATGTTTTCTTTTATTATCCTAATGGGCAATATTAATGCATAAATGATGCATTCATATTTGCCATTAGCATAAAATCGAATTATACGTACAATTTAACTTATGTTGATATAGCACGCAACTAACACAATATTGGCGTTACGCAAAATTCGACCGGTATCAAGTTAATTACCGACGACGCTTACAAGTAACATGCCGAAAATATATCACTCAACTTCTTAATAAGTTTTGCCGTACCACCTTCCATCATACCTATACATATAACCATTAGAGCTAGTTCCCACTTGACGGGCACGGCGCCTCTGTTCACACTAGTGATGGCATGTTTTGATCTACTAAAAAGAATCACCGATGCAATAGATGATAAGGTAAATGTAACAAGGGTATTTTTTGATATGTCAAAAGCATTTGACTTTGTTTGCCATAACACCTTATTACGTAAGCTAGAAAAGTGTGGGATAAGAGGACTGGCATTGCAGTAGATAAAATCATACTTATCATCAAGAAAACAGTGTGTGGAAGTTATAAGCCCTAATAAAAATAAGATTTTGACAAAATTTAGATCGCGGCTAGTTCTTAAGTACACTGGAGTTCCTCAGGGAAGCGTTCTTGGGCCTTTTTTGTTTGTAATTTATGTAAATGATTTACCGGATTCAACTCCATTCCCATGCATTTTGTTTGCGGATGACATATCTTTGATCATAAAAAATAATCATGGAAATAAACATTATTACGAAAATGACATCAAATGCGCAATAAATGATGTCATTTCATGGTTACATGATAATAATTTAAAGGTTAATATCGCCAAAACCTGTTGTTTTCAATTTTATAGTAACAGTAGAAAGAAACTAGACCTTGACATAAGGTATAATAAGTGACAAAGTGCAAGAAAACGGACAGAAGAAATTTCTGGGGTTAAAACTAGATAGTAATTGTAATTGGATGGCTCATATTGACGAAATTTGTAATAAAATTAATAGATTTGTATATGTTTTGAATAGGTTAAGAAGAACATCGTCACGCCAAACCGCACTCATTGCATATCATGGGTATGTTACAACAATACTAAGATACGGATTGTTAATTTGGGGTAATAGCTCTTATTCAAAAAGAGCTTTTATAGCTCAAAAAAAGGGTGTGAGAGCCTTAACTGGGGCCAATTGGTATGATTCGTGTAAGCCCTTGTTTAAGGATCTTAACATACTAACTTTACCAGGCATGTACATATTTGAAGCAAGTGTTCATGAAAAAAAAATTACATATGTACAAAAAAGCATCTGAGATATATTTGCATAACACACGAAAATCTAATAGACTAGTTTTAGAACGTATACCTAAAACTGCCTTTTATCATAATGGCTTTTACGCGATGAGTGTAAAGATTTATAATAAACTTCCGGTAAGCATTAAAGCAGAGGCAGAAACTGGTAAATTAAAACCAAACTCAAAAGCTGGCTATTATTAAAATGTGTTTATGATGTAAAACAATTTTTAAATTAATAAAATCTTGTTGCCTAAATTTGGCTTTACTGTATTATTTTAGACTTTATTTTTGTGTAATAATTTGTGTACTCTTTTGTCATTTTAATTTTTAGTATTTATAATTATTGACATGATGATTGTAATTTTAATTTAATTTAATTGAATAATTACAAAACCGTTTTCAGTGCCTAGAAGATTGCAATGCAGTGGACGATATGAATGACAAGCTCGTGGAAACTGTCCATGCGGGCGGAGCTAAGTTCTGCAAGACCCGCCGCAGAAGAACACAAAAACTCTCCGATCACACTCTTAATCTCATGGCTGTTAGACGGGATATGAAGCTGCAGTCTTCAGTAGATTTGACAGCATACAGGCAACTGAACAGACAGATCTCCAAATGCATGCGGCGGGACTTACGCAACTTTAATACTGCTCGTATTAAAGAAGCGATCGAGCGGAACCAGGGCTCCAAAGTCTTTGCTAAAGATCTGTCTGCCAGAAAGAGCCAACTGTCGAAGCTGAAGACAGAGTGTGGCAGCGTCGTTTACGGGACACCTGAGATTTTGAGTGAGATTGAGAGGTTCTATGGGCAGCTGTACACATCATCATTGGAGCCACACGTAAGTGTGAGTAACGATCCAAGAGCGAGTCTTATCCGACACTATTCCGATGATATCCCGGACGTCAGTCTGAGCGAGATTATAATGGCTCTCCAGCACCTTAAAAACGGCAAGACCCCAGGTGAGGATGGAATTACAGCGGAGATTCTGAAAGCGGGTGGAAAACCGGTACTTGAAGTCCTTCAGAAGCTCTTTAATTCCGTCCTCCATGGTGGCACTACACCGGAGGCGTTGAGCAGAAGTGCGGTGGTCTTGTTCTTCAAGAAAGGTGACAACGCTCTCTTGAAGAACTACAGACCGATTTCTCTTCTGAACCGCGTTTACGTGCTGTTTTCGAGAGTCATTACGAATCGTCTCGCGCGCATACTTGACGACTTCCAGCCTCCCGAACAAGCCTCTTTCCGAAAAGGCTTTAGCACCACAGACCACATACATACCCAACGGCAAATTGTACAGAAGTCCGAGGAGTACAATTTGCCACTGTCTGGGGTATGTGGACTATGAGAAAACCTTTGATTCCGTCGAAATTTGGGCGGTGCTGCAGTCCCTTCAGCGATGCCAAGTTGACTGTCGGTATATCGAAGTGCTGAAGCGCTTGTACAGTAGAGCTACGATGGCTATCCGAGTACAGAACCAGAGTACGAAACCTATCCAATTGCAGAGAGGTGTAAAACAGGGTGACGTGATATCCCCTAAACTCTTCACCGCTGCATTGGAAGCCGTTTTCAAGCTTCTGGACTGGAAAGGATACGGTATCAACATCAATGGCGAGTACATCACTCACCTTTGCCGACGATATAGTCCTTATGGCAGAATCGCTAGAGGACCTAAGCACTATGCTCAATGACCTCAATAGTGTTTCCCAACGGTTAGGTCTTAAGATGAACATGGACAAAACAAAGATCATGTTTAATGTCCATGTCACACCTATGCCGGTAGTTGTTGGGAGCACTAAGCTCGAA